GCTAACGGTTGCGTGCGGATAGAGATTTCTGTTGTTACATCACTAAGTTGAAGCAAATCTTTCTTCCAAGGTTAGGATGCACTTGGATGTACTTGCTGTTTACGGTATGCATGAAATACGCAGAGCCTCTGTAAGCGTGAAATCGCTTGCTAAGCAGCGCCGAGAAATTGGGCCCTGATTGTTACAAGCACGGTTCCAACGAAATCCTAAAATCAAACTCAGTGACCTTTCCTGCACTTTCCAGAACTAAAATATGACAATTTCCACGGCATTTAGAGCCACTCTGCACAGGGAATTTGTTTGGTATAATAAACGGGAAGACTGCCACAGGCACTATCCATAACCACCATCAAAATCACCCTTGTACAATCTTGATTTCCATGACTTTTCCTCAGACCAATTTTCCAGGAGTTTTCCATGACTTTTCGGGACAACTCTTCCCAGAATTTTCAATGACTATGGGAACCCTTTACAAGGACAAACAGATTAAAAGTACGTTACAGTCTATCATTTGCAGTTATCCAAAAGGTATCCAAATTTTTTGTTGAAAAGCATGCTTGGTTTAGATAGAGACTAAATTCTGTGAGAAACTTTTCTTTCTGGCAAACGGTCTTCATGAAGAAACAATGATTTCAAGCAGGTGCCTTCTCAAATGTTTGGGAAGTCACTATTAGAAATGCATGCAAGCATTGACACGATGCACAGACACTAGCAGTTTCTATAATTCACCAGTTCGGGGGTGACAAGATGTAGCTGCAATCGTCTGAATATGAGAATGTTTCCCAGATGCTGAATTCAGGCACAATTTAAGACACGACTCAGCAACTTTTGATCTGAAATCTAAGTCCTAGAATAGTTTTCTCAGAATATGGAGCATTCACTATTAAGCTGAATCTCCATCTTCATCAGGTTCGTTCTTGTGTTCCCTTCTTTAGATTTTGAGTAATTTTGTTGCTTCAAAGGAAAATAATCCACAAAAGACAGATGTAGGACTGTACCTTCAATCAAATTGTTGCAACAACCTAAATCATGACTACTATAGTCGAAAAACAAGACATGGCTTACTCTCCTGGGGCAGTAATGCCAGAAGATGAGCTCACAGGCAGGGGACCAACCACGCTGCTATCGCCTTACACTATAAGGGCAGTGATGTCAGAAGATGAGCCCACAGGCAGGGGACCAACCACACTGCTATCCCCTTACACTGTAAGGGCAGTAATGTCAGAAGATGAGCCCACAGGCAGGGGACCAACCACGCTGCTATCGCCTTACACTATAAGGGCAGTGATGTCAGAAGATGAGCCCACAGGCAGGGGACCAACCACGCTGCTATCGCCTTACACTATAAGGGCAGTGATGTCAGAAGATGAGTCCACAGGCAGGGGACCAACCACGCTGCTATCGCCTTACTCTATCAGGACAGTGATGCCAGAAGATGAGTCCACAGGCAGGGGACCAACCACGCTGCTATCGCCTTACTCTATCAGGGTAGTGATGCCAGAAGATGAGCTCACAGACAGGGTACCAACCACGCTGCTATCGCCTTACACTATAAGGGCAGTGATGTCAGAAGATGAGTCCACAGGCAGGGGACCAACCACGCTGCTATCGCCTTACTCTATCAGGGCAGTGATGTCAGAAGATGAGCCCACGGA